CCAGTCAGAGGTGGTATTTTCTGGTTCTCCGAACTACTGTGTGGGGAGGGTTTCCTCTTGTGAATTCTTGGGAGTGCTTATTAGTCAAGACCTCACCTGGAAAAACAACACCTCCCTGGTGGTTAGGAAGGCTCAACTGGGACTCCATTTCCTTAGAGTCTTTGGAAAAAATCAGGTGGAAAAATGGCTGATGACTTCTTTCTATCGGTCTACAATAGAAAGTGTCCTCGCATGCTGCATAACAGTATGGTACAAACAGCGGCGGACAGGAAGGCACTTCAGAGATTGATTAATTGGGCCCAAGAAACCACTGGAAGACATCGCCAGGTCTCCCTGTTTCAGCAGAGTAGGGGAGATACTGAGGGACGATTCTCATCCTGGTCAGTGTCTTCCCTCACTTTTACCATCAGGCAGAAGACACAAAAGGAGAGCCAGCCGGACAAACAGGTTTAAAAGCAGCTTTTATCCATGGGCTGTCAGACTCCTAAATACAACTACAATAGCTCCATGCATACATGGAAACCTATGACTGTTTTCTCCCTAATTACTTGTATAAGGACCATTTCCTACATTATTCATGTTGTCTTGTATTTTTGTTATTATTATTGGACTTCTACAGACCCCAGATTGAGAGCCACTGATCTAGCCCAACAGAATCTCAAAGGGATGGGGATTACAGCCAGGGACCAGCTAAGGCAGGTCAACAAAGTCAAGATGGCAGCCAGACCCACCTTCTACCCGTATGTAAATAAGGGGCGGGGCTTCCATCCCTTAGGCCTTTGTTGACTTCCCTTAGGGCAGGGGTCCCCAACCACCGGTCCGCGGACCGGTACCGGTCCGCGGAACTCCTACCGGGCCGCGGCTTGCTGGGCGCCGCCATCTTTTTTTGATGAAAAAGTGCTTCCGGTGAGCTTTTCCGGGTAGAAAGTTCACCGGAAGCACGTTTTCATCAAAAAAAGATGGCGGCGCCAGCGCTTCCGGTGAGCTTTTCCAGGTAGAAAGCTGATGCCGGTACCGGGCCGCGGCGTCAAAAAGGTTGGGGATCACTGCCTTAGGGTTTTTGCTTTGCAGCAATCTCTCCACTTCTGGGGGAGCAGATAGGGCCTTCGAAAGGGGTCTCAGAATCCATGGAGAGATGGGATTGGCTAGCAATGGATAGCCCCACCCCTTTTTGTGGAGGGAGGAGGGAAAGATAAATGTGGGTGGAGCTATGGAGAAGGAGAGGCCAAAAGTGAATTTTAGAGGCAGTCTGGCAGTAAGTTTGTCTTGGAAAATTAGGCCTGCAAAGTTGAAGATCTTGACACCCAGCCTTTGCCAACCCATAGCAGCTCTAAAGAAACCTAGATTGCTTTGCCCACCGAAACTCAGTTCAGGTAAATTTACCTGAGCTTGTAAGCATGGTTGCGAGAGAGGAAAAGACCTGTGGAGCTGAATGGGAGGTATGAGCTCAGGAGTTTTCTGCAATCAATTTCATCCTGCCTTCGACTGCAATTCACCCATTTATTTGGGTCTTGTTCGTGCCAATAAAGGACCACTTTTCTGGAAATTGTTATGGGCGTCAGGTGTAAAGGATTAGGATTGCATCGTTTGTGGGTTATTATTTATTGTATTATTATTATCCTTCCTATTAACTATCTCTTCCCACTTATGACTATAACCGTGTTTCTTGTATCTTTACAATTTATATTGTTTTGTTTGTTTCCTAGTATGATTTGATTGCTTATTAGTAAACTATGACTATCACTAAGTGTTGTACCTTATGATTCCTGGTGAATGTATTTTATTTTTTCTTATGTACACTGAGAGCATATGCACCACAGAAAAATTCCTGGTGTGTCCAATCACACTTGGCCCATAAAGAATTCTGTTCTGTTCTGTTCCTATTCTTATTCCTATTCCTATTCAATCTGGCTGTAAATTTATGGATACCAGGGATCTTATGACAATAAAACAATAAATCTAATTTTAACTGCTGTAAGTTTTCATTTGTACTTTTGATGGTGCTTAAATTGTGCCCTTGTGGGTGGGAGGGAGCGCATTTTGAATTGCTTTTGTTTATTTGTACCGAAAGCCATCTCTTTTTGCATGGATTTTTAATAGTAGTAATAATCTAATCTGATGATAATGCCTTGAAAATGAAATAAGCTTTCTCACAGGCCCACTTAGAAATTACTGAATGGGTTGTAGAAGTAAAAAACAAACAAACCCTACCTTGCTGAGTTGAGTTTGAATCCTGGTGATATCCATTTAAAATTTCTTTTATTGATACCTACAGGTCCAAGAATGCTAGTCAAATATTTTTTTCAGCTATATGGAAACAAAGAGGAGGAGATAAAAAATAAACCACCAGGCTAAATTCATACAAAGTGCTTTTGAATGGTGATCACAACTGAACAGAATTTAATTCCTTTTATGTAGATTGTGATGAATTGATCTGCTAATTTTAAAACATCATCCTAATTTCAGCTTGAACATTAGTTGGGAAAAGAATCATTCATTCAGAGTGTCAATGAGTGTAAAAAAGGATGCTACAGCCAGTTATAGAGAAATGGGTTCAGTTATTTCACTAGCTAGAATACAGGCTTTAAAAAATTAGGTGATGGAATTTGCTATACAGTATTTCCCTTTAATACACTAGATGATAAAATGTTAAACGTTCCCAGATTGAAGGTTTCCCTGCAACAGAAATATGGAATATTAAAAACAGATTTAGATGTGAATGTTCTGTAAATTTAGTCTCTAAAGTATAAACCAAAGATGTTTAGTAGTAGTAGTACAGTAACCACAATCATCTTAGTGCTGCTTTCCTTCCTTCCTTCCTTCCGAACCCTCCCCTTCCGAAAAGTGAAATATTTTGGGGAATATTAATAGAGGCAGAATATTATATTTCCCCAATGGAGAAATGGAGAAGCATATTCTTGGAGGCAGAAAGCAGCCCCCAATCTTTCTTAATAGCCCACAACAGATGCTGGGACTTATCAAGATAACAAGCTTATTTAAAGAGGAAGCCAACTATCTAGATGGCTCCATTCATAAGCAAAGCCAATGCTGCCGGCAGAAGTCCATTCAAGACAGGATATTTCAAAATCCCTTAGAGCAATTTCGACAGCTAACAAAATCAGAGTGATAGGATTAAAGAAAGCAGCCCCTCACCCAAAAATCTAACACAGGACACAGCCATAAGAATAATAAGAATCACCCAACACCTTTTCAGAACACAAATCCCATATTGCACAAATCCCAAACTTCAGAGTTACAGATACTATCAAGATCCACCCACTAATTCAGTCACTTGATCAGCTGTCCCAGAACCTCATGCTGTTTGTGGTTCTTCGTCAATAGATGGACCCTCCTTCCAATCAGCCTCCATGTTATTTCCAGCATCTTTTTTACCAGCTTGGAATTGATTCAGAAGGGTTTTTCTTCCAACCCTCCCCCCCCCCCCCCCCCCCCCCCCCCCCCCC